CCCCCACGTCCCAAGGAGTCAGGCTCCACGCTCACTCCAAAGCATTCCTACACAGGGACGTGGGAACTGAGGATTTTGGGGTGCCTGGGGATATTTTGCACGCTCACACGCCCCACAAAAGTGACCCCAGGGATATCAGCTCGGTGTTCTTTCCTACAGGAGATGAAACCAGAGACACACACACACGCCACCCACCCCACCCCCGCCCAGTATCTTCCCAGTTAAACCCAGGACAAGGGTCCCTACTGCATGGGGTCAACCCCCCACCCTGAGAATGTCCCTCTTTAGGGGTAAATTTAGTGCCTGTTGCACCCTATATCCTGCCCCACATCATAGAAGACCGCCCAGCTTAGATGGAGGGACCACAGTGGGGCCTCATTCTGCACCCCACACCCTGGGGGGGGCTCCCCACTATCCTCACTGCATCCCAGGTACATCTGAATGGGGGGTATACATCGGGGGGGGACCCCTACTGCCTTTTACATGCTGGGGACACCAGTAGATGCAAAAGGGGGGACAGGGGAAGGGGGGTGTCACCCTATTGCACCCAAAATACATTGCCTCCCCTGGGGAGGCACTCCCAGCCCGTGGGGTATCCTTATTGCACCTCCAAATCGGGGTGAAGGGGGGTGTCCCTTCGCAAAAAAAAGGTCCTTATTGCATCTCCCATCCTTACGGGGCTGTCCCCCAGAAGAGCTCCCCGGAGGGGTGTCCTCATTGCACCCCGACATCCCGGGGGGTGGTCCCTACCGCCCCCGCCGTGGGCTCCCGGTGCACTGCGGTACCCGGGAAGGGGGGTTCCCTACTGCACATCCCCCCTCCAATCCGTGTTGGGGGGTCCTTACAGCCCCCGGTACGGCCTTCCCGGCCCCCCCACTGACCTCTGCGGCGTGGGCCGCCTCCTCGGCGGGCAGCACGGTGTGGGTACGGTGCTCCCGGGAAAGGTGGCAGACGACGCAGACGGCCCGGCGATCCTGCACGCAGTAGAGCCGCAAGGGTTCGCCGTGGC